ACACATTATTGGTTCTGTTTTCCTGGAGAACCTTGACTGATAACAACCAACCTTCAGTAAAATAACACAGGGTATGTTATTAATATTATCTATCTCATTACCTATCTCTGGTTAAATACTTCTCTTCACTCACATTTTCTTAATAAGTCCTATTTACCAATTGTTTAACCATATTTTGTGATTCTCTGAACCATCCACTAGCTTTAGCATCGAATGCTGACTCATGATTAGAAAGTAGCAAAGTGAATGGTGGCTAGTCCATCTCTTTGCTCGAGGTCCGTTGGACCAAGCCTAGTTTGCTCCAAAAGAAAGAATGTCCTAGGCTCAGACCAGCTCCATTTCATGTTATTCTTCTGTACCTACCCCAAACTACCTTATACTTACTATTCAGCAGCTCACTCACACCTGAAAACCCCTAATTTAGTGCACGAATTTCCCTGGTCTCACCCACAGTCCTATGAATCTCATAAAACCCCTTGAATTCACACAAGAGCAAAAGTTTTCTTGCAGTAATGGCCCAGAATTCTTTAAAAGGACAGTGGAGAAAATTGTAGACTTGAGAGGTGGCACCGAACATGCCTAATTCGACTGAAAGTTTTCTTTTTTCCCTATTGGCCATTTTCAGTCAATTAAACTCTACAATTTGAGAGCATTCCTTTGGATGTTAAAACATTGTCATTATCAGTTGTGACTTCACTGGCATCAATCAAGTTCTTATATTGGCTGTAGTGACCAGTCCTTATGAACATGCAAGTTGGGTTATGTGACGGCCAGAGCGTGGGGTACTGCCTGTCGGGGTGCTAGCTTTGTCTTGCCAGAGCACAAAATCCTGGGAGTGTGGGGTGCATGGAAACAGAGGGAGGGGCACCAAAGGAAGAGGTAAGAATAGATAATTCAAATAAACCCCTCACAAATTGGCTTGTGCTTTGAGAATACGAGTTGTGCAGATTCCAACCGAAAAGAAACAAATGTGCTCCATGAGGTCAGACTTTGTCTACCGAGAAAACTCATGCAGTAGTCATGCCTTGGAGAATTTCCCGTCGATAACAAGATCAACATTTGATCAACAACTCCACAATGTAAGCACTATTTTTTTTAATTGAAGTATAGTTGATTTACAGTATTATGTTAATTTCTGCAGTACAGCAAAGTGATTCAGTTTACCATGGGATATTGAATAGAATTCCCTATGCTATGCAGTAGGACCTTGCTGTTTATCTATTTCATATATAGGGACTTGCATCTGCTAATCCCAAACTCCCAATCCATCCCTCTTCCACTGCCTCTCCCCATGGGCAACTCCGTAGGTCTGTTCTCTATGTCTGAGAGTCTGTTTCTATTTTATAGATAGGTTCATTTGTGTTATATTTTAGATTCCACATATAAGTGATATCATATAGTATCTTTCTCTGTCTGACTGACTTCACTTAGTATGATAACCTCTAGATCCATCTATGTTGTTGCAAATGGCATTGTTTCCTTTTTATGGCTGAGTAATACTCCATTGTATATATGTACCACATCTTCTTTATCCATTCATCTGTTGATGGACATTTAGGTTGTTTCTGTGTCTTGACCTATTGGATAAACATCATTTTAAAACTTCATTTTCAAGTAGGTAAACCAGGGTTCAGAGGCATCTATGACCTGTCCCTGGTCTATTGTCTAAAAGGCTCAGAAATCTGACCTCTGCCAGCACATCAAGAGTAGGTTTGTATTTTAGAATTGGACTCACGTTAATTCAGATTATTAAATCTAACGTTGAAAGCCAGGATGCCAAATTATTGATTTACAATGAGAAATGTAAGCTCTCAAAGACCACGATGCTGAGGTTCACATACCTAAAAGCACTCTCCCTATATAGGCACAAAAAGCAGATTACAATCAGATCACAGCTTAAAGAGCATATAACTAAAACAAAGAGAATTAGATGCATGAGCTAAAAGAGCATTCCTTGGTTTGGTTTTTGAGACGCACTCTGCCTGTCTTGCCAATGACTCAATAATACTCTAAGTCCATTGCTGAACCATATTTGAATAGGACTCTCCATATTTATTTCTGTGATGCTCTTTTCTCTATGCTTTCAAATAGACCAACTTCTCTTCTGATGGATGTTTTTTTAAATTGTGTTGAAACCCTGAATTCAAGGCTTTCTCTGGCTTAGAAGTCACTATATCTCTCTATTTTGGTACATTTGGTATATATATTTCATATTGTTGTTGTTCAGTCTCTTAAGTTGTGTGTCCATCTCTTTGTGGCCCCATGGACTGTAGCTTGCCAGGCTTCTCTGTCCATGGGATTTCCCAGGCAAGAATACAGGACTGGGTTGCCATTTCCTTTACTAGGGGATCTTCCAGACCCAGGGATCGAAATTGTGTTTCCTGCTTGGCAGGCAGATTCTTTACCACTGAGCCACCTGGAAAGCCCCATATTTATATCATAGATCTCTTTTATACCACCAGATAAGTCTTGTTTATAAACTTCACAGAGCCTGGCTCAATCATTATATGAGGAAAGTCCTCAGTAATATTTGTTGAAAGGAGAGTGAAAGAATGAATAAGTACATCTCAATGACAGATGACTTAAAAATAGCTCTCCCATCAATGTGGAAAACAGTATGACAGTTCCTCAAAAAATTAAAAATAGGATTACCATATGATCTGGCAATTCCACTTCTGGATAATGCTCTAAAGAAATGAAAGCAGGAACTTGAAGAGATGTTTGTACACTCATGTCCATAGCAGAATTATTCACAAGAGCCCAAAGGTGGAAGCAACCCATCTGTCAACTAATGAAGGAAGGGGTAAACAAAATGTGGCATATACAAATGATGGAATGTTATTTGGTCTTTGCTACCCATGGATGAACCTTGAGGACATTATGCTAAAGTGAAAGAAGGAGCTCACGAAAGGGACATACCCTGTCTGACCCCACTTGTATGACTTACCTAGAATTGTCAAATTCATAGAGACAGAAGGTGCAGTGGCAGTTCCCAAGAGGCTGAGGAGAGAAGGGAATGGGGAGTTAGTTTTTGATGGGTACAGAGTTTCAGTTTTGCAATACGAAAAGAGTTCTATGGTTGGACGGTAACGATGGTTGCACAGCACTATGATGTATTAAATGCTTTTGAACTATACAATTAAACATGGTCAAAATGGTAATTTTTATGTTATGTGAATTTTACCAGAACTGAAAAAAAAAAAACCTCTTTCATGCTGACTCATGACTTGTGTTTTTAAACCTGCACTGTCTCCACAAAACCAGTGTATCAGCTTCTATACCTATCTTCATGCAGTGCAGTGGTTTGTCTTGTTGCCTGTCATTCTGTTTGAGACTATGATACAGTCTCGCTATATCAGCAATATGGTAGAGTTGTGCAACACAAAACACTTCAAAGTAAAACCACAAACAACACTGTCACTACCTGCCAATTAAAAGGACCGACTTTCAATCAAGAAAATAAATACACTGTTCATGGTGGATAAATAAGGAAATTTATATTGGGTTAACAACAACTTTAGCAATCTTAACATACTTTTTTTTTTTCTAAAGATCTGCAAGAAACATATGTACCAGCTGAATGCCGCTGAAGAAAATCGTTATAGGATTAGCAGTTTTCTGACCCACTTACTAAAAAAAAGCCGAATCACTCAACTGAGACCCCAGGGAAATGCAGATTTATACCTTTGACGTATTACTTGGCTTTTCTTCAATTAACTTAAATTCTGTAACCAGTTTTTGAGTCTTTGCCATCTTCTTTTCTTTTAATTGGGTGATTTTATATGCCTTCTTGAATATAAGCCTTTGCAAATTCTTGGTTTTTCTAAATGCAAATGTATAATGAAACCTGCATACGGCTTTCTCCTGTGCAATTATTTTCTAAATCCATCAGGAGGCCTGCTTCTCTCCCTAATCCTTTCCTTTACTAGATTGGGGCTGAATGGGTGGAGTGGGCAGTCGAGAAGAGAAGTCCAGTGCTCTTCGCTTCCAGATGGGAACTGGGGAAGATGGGGAAGAGGGTCTCTCCACCTGTGGCCATAGTGGTCCAGTAAATGAGAGGCGCTTCCATTCCCACAGGCATGGAGCTGTTTCCTGTCACCTGGCCTTGACTAATCCTTTTCCAACCACTGGGAACAAGCCTTTTCCTCCTGTCCAGTACTCTAGCCCTTCTCTTCCATCCAGTGTAGCTTTCTTTAAGAAGGTTTCTTTCAGTTGAGGAATCTCTTCATTTTCAAGCCCACTGATAAAATTGCTGACCAACATCTCCACAACTCACTCTTACAACTGCTGTGTTTATGCTGACTACATGCTTGTCTTATTTCCCTGTACAGGCCAGACGTCCTCGGCCACAGCCAAATCCAAGGGCCTGATTGTGGGATTCTCTTTTTTCTGGCTTTCTTGTTTTTGGCAATAGCACCATCATTCTGTTGCCCCAGTCAGTAACCTCAGAGGCATTTCTGCACCCTCCTTTTTCCACACTCACACTCCCTAATCTCCAATCAGTCTCCCAATCCTAGCAGTTCTTTTTTGTTATTATTTTTTAGACTTTATTTATTTCTGGCTGTGCTGGGTTTCTGCTGCTGTGTGGGCATTTCTCTAGTTGCAGCCACCGTGGGTTACTCTAGCTGCAGTGCGCAGGCTTCTCATTGTGGTGGCTTCCCCTGTTACGGAGCATGGGCTCTAGGGCCCAGGCTCAATAGCAGTGGCACATGGGCTTAGTTGTTCTGCAGCATGTGGGGTCTTTCCTCACCAGGGATCGAACCCGTGTCTCCTGCATTGGCAGGTGGATTCTTTACCACTGAACCACCAGGGAAGCCCCCCTAGCAGTTCTTTCTTTATAACCTCTCTGACTTCTCTTCTGTATTTCCCTATTTCTTTCATCCCTTTCATGTAGACTCTTCCAGCTGCATCTTAACTGTTCTCGCTGGTTCCCAGCTCCCACCACGAGCTCATCCTTAACACCAGCGCCAGGTGGGTCTTCCTGAGCTACAGCTTTATTCAGGTCACTTCACAATTTTAAAATCACCAATAGCCCTCTGTTGTCTTGGGGTTAGCATTCAAGGCTACATAGGTGGAAAGACCACAGGTTTTATAAGCAATCTGAACTCTGCTCACATACCAACTCTGCCCTTTACTAGTTGCAGGGCAAGACCCTGACCCTCTCGGAACCTGTTTCCACATCTATAAAATGGAGATGATAATACCCATCTGGAAAGGTGATTGTAAAATTTAAGCAAGATAACCTAAGCTAACCCTTTGGCCTCTCACAGTAGGCACTCAGTAAATGGCATCTTTCCTTCTTCTGCAAGTCAATGCCAGCCTGTCTTTACCTTTACAACTTCATTCTCCCTCCTTGGTTCTTCTCCAACACAACTTCCTGCCTCCTGTGTCTTTGGAGAAGTGGTTCTCTCTACTTGCCTTTCATCTTTGCCCATGGAGTCCCCTATGTCCTTTAAGGGCCAAAGTCAGGAAGTGTTCCTTGATCAGTTTTGTCAAATACTGTCAGTGGGATGCCAAGGAGGGAGGTGAGAGTTGTTGCCACCGACATTGTTTAGAATCACCATCTCGTAGTGATAATAACAAGCATACAGGGACTTCCCTGGTGGTCCAGTGGCTAAGACTCCTCACTCCCAGAGCAGGGAACCAGGGTTCAATCCCTAGTCTGGGAACTGGATTCCACATGCCACTACTAAAAGATCCCTCATGCCACAAAGACTTGGCGCAGCCACGTAAGTAAATATATATATATGTAAAAGCACACAGACTTTTTTTTCGCCTCACCACACAACATGCAGGATCTTAGTTCCCCAAATAGGGGTCTGAACCAACACTCCCTGCAGTGGAAGCATGGAGTCCTAACCACTGGACTACCAGGGAATTCTCTGTGCTCAGTTATTTTATGCATTATTTATCTATCAAGCACCCACACTGTGCCTACCACGTGCCAGGTGCCATTTTAAGTGCTGTACGTTTATGAAATCTTTCTAATAACAAGCTGAGGGAAAGGGGGGACAGGGAGTGTGAGGCGGGGTTGAGGCCCCAGAGAGGACCCTGGGAGGGTGAAGGGAAACAGTGTGAGGGGGCTGCCAAGATAAGAACCTAGCAATGAGACAGGCTGGCTGGGAGGTCCCAGCAAGGTGAGCTGGGGCACAGTGACAGGTAGCAGAGGAAGCTCACTCCTACACCAGCCTGGGCATCGCACCTGCTAAAGACTGATGCTGCTGAGCATCAGCCACTAAATGTTTTTCCCTTAAAAATCACATTGAGAATCCCTAGAGGTACACATACCACATTTTGCAAAATGTTGAGTCAATTCATCTCCAAAAAATAGAAAAAGCTTTTGGGTAACATTTTAGGAATTTTTGAGAATTTTATGTTCTCACTACTAGTTCATAAATAAAATATAAAACTTAAAAAAATGCATACACACTTATAATTGCTGAATGAAAATACCAAGTGTAGAACTGCTTTATCACATGTTTTGCCAGTTCCTCATATTTCTTCCACACTTGACTTTTCAAAAACAAATTTTCTGGAATGTTTTGTCTTCTATACTTTCCAGTTTTTGCAGATCAGGAGGCTAATAAAAATAAATAACTTGAGGAAATTTAATGAGTATTATCACATTTGGAAATATCAGGATTCCTAAGAAAGACTATTTCATGCTTTGCTCTTAGGGATGTGGCAGCACCTTAATGTGAAAATCCATCCATGGCAGGTTAAGATTGGTCTTACCTAAGTTCACCAGAATATCCAGGTACCAAAAGCAACAGTGATGCAAATATATTATAAAGGAATATAAAAATGATAAAAATGCAAGGCTTAGTAACCAAGAGCAATTCTTCATATATTTCAACTAAAACAAACATCACTACATTGAATGGAGAGGCAGATATAAAAATCCATTTTCTACTGTTAGTCAAACATTAAAGAGATTTTATAAAAATGAAAAATAATGCCATTCCTCTTGCTCATTTTTTAAATTTGGGAATTGCCTTGATGGGAGGGAAGTTTGGGTGAGAATGGATACACACATATGAATGGCTGAGTCCCTTTGCTGTTCACCTGAAACTCTCACAACATTGTTTGTTAATTGGCTATACCCCAATACAAAATAAAAAGCTTAAAAAAATAAACTTGGGAATGTATATCTTTTATTAACTATATTATGTTAACATTTAATAGGTTTATTATAAGTAAAATCAGAATTAAAATTTTTTCAGTTTTAATTTTAATACAGTAAATATCAATATTTAAGCCAATGTAAACTAAAGATTTTTGATATCTTCAATGATTTTTAAGAGTGTAAAGAGGTTCTGAGAACAAAAAGGGTAAGAACCACTATTCTAAATAGTTCTCCAAACTTGGGCTGGTCTCCTTTGACTATTCACAGGAAGATAGTACTTTAGAGTCAAAGCTGTAGTAGAAAATGATTGCTTCCTAGTCAGGTTAGGCAGGGGAACATTGTGAGGAAGGTGCTTCAGAAATGAGAACTAGCATTGTAAAAGTTCATTCTCACAGTAACAGGCAAGTCTAATAGAGTAGGACCACTGAGCTTAAGGAAGGCAAGACAAAGACCTCTGGGGAGGGAGAGGCTGCAAGTCTGCTTCAAGGAAAAATAAATAGCTGAAACCCCTTTTGATTAGGATTCTGTTCGCTTTTGATATATGTGTCCCTAATCTATTTACAGGAGTAGCTTCTTTCCTGATCAAAAAAGACAAAAGGGATTTGCAGTTAGGTCTCACCATGGACCCATGATTTCTGCTCAAGGGGGCATAATAAAAAGTGTTAGAACAATGCATTGTTGGAATGATACCACCGTCAACTTCCAAAACTTGGTTCTAAGATGTGTGAACCCCTCTATGGTCTGTCTCCTTCTCAATCAACTAGAGAACAGAGTCATCCCCGAATCTCAGGACCTTCAGGATTCACACCTTCAGTTGGAAGGTAGGAAGTGATGTATGTACCTGACTTTTGTTTAGGCTTTGACTTTAATGAGGAGAAAAAGCCATGAGGAACCATTTGACTCATTTCAGCCAATTGGTGTCCTGAAATATTCCATCTCGCTGTGATGAAAAGGATCAAACTGTGATCTAACTCAAAAGTGGATTGTTGTCCATAAGAAGAAAGAACAAGGACAAATTCTAGCCTCAGATGGGGTTGTTTCTGAAAACAGGAGACAGAGCATCACCAATGAGGTCAAAGCAAGAACTGACTGGAATCACCCATTAGGCTCTTCAGTCCTTGATTCGATCATTGCAGGAAGCTTTCCTGATAGAACCGTGGATACTGACCGAGGCCATCTTGGTCACAAATTACTACTTACCTTCCTCAAGACTTGTACGTGAGGAAAGTAAAGAATAATGGTATATACGTGAACCCTGGAGTCAGTCTGCCTAGATCTGATTCTGTATCTCTCAGGGCCTCAGTTTCCTTCTCTGTAAAATGAGAAGAGTGACAGCGCTGACTTTTAAGATTCTTGTGAGGATTATCGAAGATAATGCGTATAAAGCACAAGACATGGCACACACTAAGAGGCTAAATAAACGGAAGTTATTAGGGAGGGTCTTTGCTTCACATGCCCATTTGTGAGCTTTTTTCCCCGTTATTTCTCAACAGCACCCTTTTCTTTCGGGGCTGCTGATCTCTGAGGCTTCTAGTTCCTTATATCCCTGAGTCATCATCCCTGAGATCCTGGATTTCTGAAGTCGTCCCTTCTACTGCTTTCTAGGGCTCCCTCTCCTGACTGCTTAGCTCTCGCGGGGGCTCAGACCCACAGTCCGTGGCTGCAAGTCTCCGTCGGGCTTAGCCACCCATCTTGCAGAAACGTCCTCAGTCCCCTTTGGAGACCTACCACCTAAGACTGAGACCTATCGCACCCAGAGAAGCTCCCCAGTCCAGAATCCCGAGAGAGGTCGAGGGCGGGGCCCGGCCTCTAGGTGAGAACGAGGCTGGGGGCGGGGCCGTGCTCGGAGGTGCGCACGAGGCCACACCCCGAGGTGAGCGTGCCGGGGGCGGAGCCACACCGCGAGGTGGACGCGAGGCCGGGGGCGTGGCCACGCCGAGGAGCCGCCCGGACCGTTAGGGATGAGCCGGCCGTCTTCGCGGGCTGCGCATGCAGCCTCCCACGGGCGTGAGGCAGCGCAGGGGTTAAGGCTGCCGGCGCCACCTGGGCGCCGCTGAGGAGACCCACGAACCGGCGAATCGCGCGCGGGCGCGGCGAACAGGTGCCCGTGCGCGTCAGGCGCCGGCAAGGGGCGGGGAGAGGGGGCGCGGCCGGAAGCCCGGGGCGGGGCGCGGCGCCGCCGGCCGGGTGGAACGGGAGGGAGCTGAGGCAGGCAGGAAGGAGCTCGCCCTGCCGCGCGGCGCGCGATGTGGAGCCGCCGCCTCGGCGCCTGCAGCAGCCGCCGTCGCCGCCGCTGCTGCTGCGGGGGCTGCCGCCGAGCCGAAGGACATGGAGCGCGGCTGCAGAGAGCGGCCGCCGGCAGCAGCAGCGAGCGTCGCAGCGACAGCGGAGCGCAGCCCGCCCCGTGAGGCGCTGCCCGGCCGGCGGCGGCAGCGGGAGCAGCAGCAACAGGGTGGCTGAAAACCCGGCAGCGGCTTTCCTCCCCGCAACCTCCCCTCCCGCTTCGCGTCCCTGCAGTCTTCCCTCCCTCAGCCTTCCCTTTGCCACCCCCTGTCCTCCTCCTCCCCGGCGCGCGCCGAGCAGCTGAGCCCGGGGGCGGGGGGAGGGGGCGCGTGCCGCCGGCGCGGGGGAGGGGCGGGCCGGCGCGCGCCGCGCCCAGGGCTTGCGGAGACCCGAGGGGCGCGTGCCGCGGCGTGAGGCGAGGCGCGGGGCGCGGGGCAGCGCGGCGGGGCCCCTCCCCCCTGCAGCCTGGCGCGCGCCGGCCGGGCCGCACCGCTGCGGGCTCGGCGCGCGCGGGCCATGTCCGCCTTCTGCCTGGGCTTGGCCGGCCGCGCTTCAGCACCCGCCGAGCCGGACAGCGCCTGCTGCATGGAGCTGCCCGCCGCGGCCGCGGACGCAGTCGGGAATCCAGCCGCCGCCACCGCCGCTGCCCTCATCTCCGGGGGCCCCGGGGAGTTGGAACTGGCGTTAGAGGAGGAGCTGGCGCTGCTGGCGGCTGGGGAACGGCCGTCCGAGCCCGGGGAGCATCCTCAGGCCGAGCCCGGGCCTCCAGCCGAGGCGGCCGGACTGCAGCCGCCGCCCGCCCAGGATCCCGAGCTGCTGTCAGTGATCCGGCAGAAGGAGAAGGATCTGGTCTTGGCGGCCCGACTGGGCAAGGCATTGCTCGAGAGAAATCAGGACATGAGCCGGCAGTACGAACAGATGCACAAGGAACTAACAGATAAGCTGGAGGTGAGGACGTCCCTCCTGGGATAGGTGGGAAGCGGGGGTGGGGGGAGCCCAGGTACCCGCCCGCCGGCCCTGGGTAGCTTCGGGAGCCAGGCACTCACCCACCTCACCCCACTCCTTTCTTGCCTATCCTGTCTTAACAGAAAACCACCTGGGAGGTGGGTAGCATGGAGGGTTTGAGGTTATCAGACGAGGGTATTCTTGAACACACCTGGCTTTCCTACCCTGCTCACAGCAAAGGGGTCCATGCACGGCCCCAGACGCTGTGGGTCGTTCTACACAGGTACTGTACACAGCATCCAAAATAGAGGTTACAGTATAACTAGTTTATACAGCACTGAGGTGATGTCTGCACACAGGAATTACAGAGTCGGGAAGCGTTTAAAATATGCTCCAGGCTTTCGGAGAGGTAGTTAATCGCTAATCAGGGTGTTAGCTTAAAGCTTTTTAGCTTTGGCGTTAAGGGCTTCCACATGCCCTTGTCTTAACTTCCCCTCAGCTCAGAATGGTGGGAAACAAGTGCCCCTAAAGGAGCTTTATATAGCCTTCAAATACTCACGGATTAGGAAATATGGTTCCACTGCAGAAATCAGGTGAGCCTGGGCTCAACATGTGACAGTTGGTTGTGATTTGATTTGGACTTCAATATATTTAAACAGTGCTTTTGTTTCTCTTCTGGGTCTCACACATGCAGTTAGATGGCCAAACACAACTTGTGAGAACCATATAACTTTAACCATTGTTATACATACCCGTTAAAATATCTGTAAGATTTCTGCCAATTCTCTGGACCAAAGTGTTTTGCTTCTCTTTTCTTGCCCTTAACTAGAAAAGGGCCTTGAAACTGATACAAGTGGCTACCACTTCTAAATAAATTTTTAGAGTCTTTTTTTCTTAAGTGAAGATGGGGAGGTGCATCTGTGGCAGTGGCGTTGAGCTTATCTTTTTCTGTCTGTGCATTTAATATTGTCTCCCAGTTTGGTGGCAATGAGTTCTTTTTATTCTTGTTACAAGAGAATAGTACAGCCCTGAATAAAGTTTGAAATTGACCGTTGTCTGGTTCCATATCACTGCTACTGGTCAAATGGTCAGAGTGTAAATTCAGAAACTTTTCTCTAGTAAGTATGTCTGTAGTCCAGCGACATATCAAAAATAAGTAAGAGAGGAAAAAAAGGAAACCAGTGAGTGCCCTGTACTTAAGTTGGCCTGTTAACTAGGTCTGCCAGTCGATGAACTCCTGAGATACCTCTCTGAAAAGTGGTTTGTGAAACCTATATATAGATTGCCAAAAAGCAACCCAGTGAATTGAATTGTTTGATTTCCACTTGAAGTAGATGTCTCAGACTAAAAGGGTGTCTTTTTTTGAAAAAGAGATTAGATTACAGACTCTAAATAGAAGTACTACTGCAGACATGTATGCTTGTGATTTGAAATCCCTTCAGTGAGAGACTTGATTAAAGAGACAGCTGTCTTGAAAGGAACATCATATCAGTTGGTTTCATGAGTGATAGTTTTCAAGGGTAATCCTGAATATGTAGTTAAGCACATCCTGGGTTCCACTTGGAACCTTTATACATGTCTTCACCAAAGGAATAAGATTTTCAAATTCTATAACAAGAAAGGTCATATTGTAGAAGAATAAATTACATTTTACTTTTTGCTATGAGTTGATAGACAACATTAAGATAGTTTAAAACTCTTACTAACATATTTTTAAAAATCTTCACTCCTCTCAGGTCAGCATATGAATTCAAGTGTTAAAGGTTTATTTTTAATTTCTGGATGTTGGTTGCACAACAGTATGAATGGACTTAGGGCTACTGAACTAACATTACACTTAAAAATGAATAAGGTGATAAATTTTATGTTATGTATGCTATGATCTAAGGCACTAACTTAAATGTATACACTTTTTTCTTCAGAGATTTAATCTTTATTTAGTTTTTTAAAAATAAGTTTTTAAAGTTCAGGATTCTTTTTCTTCCCCCATTCCAGGTGAGAGTGAATTCTCTCTTAATGCAGAGGTAGTCTCTTCCCTAGGTTACATTTTCTTCCCTCTTCCCTAGGCCAATTCTAATGGTTCTAGCACTACTTTTTAAAATTTTTTTAAGAGGCAAAACAAGTATGGTGGGACTTCCCTGGTGGCCCAGTGGTTAAGAATCTGTCTGCCAACGCAGGGTTCCGGGTTTGATCCCTGGTTGGGGAAGTTTCACATACTGTTCTATATGGATCCCCCCCCCCCAAACAAAAGAAGAAATGTTCTTGTTAAACTTTTTTTTTTTTTAAAAAGTAAGGTGAAAATGATTACATAATTGGGTAGTAGATTTAGATAAGCAAATACAGGAGTCCTTATTTGCATTCAGTGCTTGATCCACTTAAATCGTATTTTTTTTCTTTGTATTGTTCAAGAACCATATCCTGGACTTACGAGAATAATATGCTTTTTTGGTTCGTGGCAGAAGTCCATTTCTGTAACAACCAATTTTAGGTGAGCTAATGATACTCACTTCTTCAGAGTTTTAAATAAACTGTTTTTAGAATGGTTTTAGATTTACAGAAAAGTTGGAAAGATAGGACAGAGTTTCCATATGCCCTGCCCCAGTACTTGCCATAATTAGTAAACCAATACTAATACATTATTATTAGCTATGAGGCTGTTTTGGTGGCTCAGATGGTGAAGACTCTGCCAACAATTCAGGAAACCTGGGTTCCATCCCTGGGTCGGGAAGATCCCCTGGAGAAGGGAATGGCTACCCAGCCCAGTATTCTTGCCTGGAGATTTCCATGGACACAGGAGCCTGGCAGGTACAGTCCCTGGGCTTGCAAAGAGTCCAAAACGACTGAACGACTAACACTTTAACTTTTTCATTTAGTTTAATTAGATTTCTTTGGGCTTCTCTTGTGGCTCAGCTGGTAAAGAATCTGCCTGCCATGTGGGAGACCTGGGTTCGATCCCTGGGTTGGGAAGATCCCCTGGAGAAGAGAAAGGCTACCCACTCCAGTATTCTGGCCTAGAGAATTCCATGAACTGTATAGTCCGTGGGGTCGCAAAGAGTCAGACACACTGAGCATGTAGGTTTTTTTAGCCTTTGCCAAATGTCTTGTTCTGTTTCATGTTACCCTTACATTTAGTTTCTGTATTTTCCTAGTCTCTTTTTGTCTGTATCAGTTTCTTAGACTTCTCTTGTTTTTGATGACCTTGACAGTTTTGACATTAGCTTTTTTCTTATTGAGGTATAACTGACATACAGCATTATATTAGTTTCAGGTGTAGATATTACCTTTTAAACTACAGTTTAACCCCAAGAAGCAGGGAATAGCATGGACAGAACCTGACCACTACACTTTCTGATATTCTTCCTAGAGTTTACTGGTTAATTTAGCACTTCACTGAAAATGTAATTCTAGGAGAAATCTTTCTTTTCTCAGAATAGACAGAAGGCTAAGTTCTGTATGTTCATTAATAGGAAGGTCTTGATTTTTTCCCCCAGAGTGTTGGGAAACCTGAATTAGGAAGAAATGTAAGGACAGAATAGATTGATCAGCACCACTTGTCCTCAACCCTGCCTCACTCCCTGCACGTGGATTAGATTGTTTTAGTCGCTTAGTTGGGCTGTTCACTAACAGCTGTTTGCTGAATATTTTTAAGTCTCTCTGTTCTTTTAGAACACAAGCCTAATTTATCTGGCCTCTCAGTAATACTGTGATTACTGAGTTCTTGCTGTTGCCTTCTGCTCAGTCTTTTCCATTTTTGAAAAACTCAATAAATCCAAGTATCACAATTTTAGAATTGTAATTACCATTTACTTCTGCATCTCATCTTTCTGAAGTTTGTATAGTGACTAAAACATCCTCATTTTTGGAAGTTTAGCAAAATGAGGGAAGCACAGAGCAGAAAATTTTCATGCTGAGAAGTACAAGTCCCTCCCTTGAGAGAAAAATCTTTTTTTAGGCACAACTCAGATGTGAAATAATGAGACTGATTTTCTTGTATAACTATACACTGCCCCTTAAGGCTTTCCAAAAGAGGCATCCTAAAAAACATATGAAAGGTGAGAACTTGGATAGAATGAGAGTGTAGATTCACAAGGTGAAAAGATGTCTGAGTACGTTGAAGGAAAAGATGCAAATGCCCATCTTAGCTTGTTGAAACAGTCTCAGTGCTTGATAGTCAACCTTTAGTGCATCAGAATTTCCAATAGAACCTAAATAGATTAGTGGGTAGATAGACAGATGCCTTCCTAGGCCTCATCCCATTCTTTACTGAATCACAGTCTGGAATCAGTGTTTAGGTGGATGTATTTTGAACAATTATACCAGAGATTTTCTGACAGCAAAAGCTGAGGACCATTGCTTTACTTCTCACATGCATCTCTCACACTCTGAGGTATTTACTTGGTTTTCTTGTACTTGGTGTGCTTTTTTTGTTGTTTATTTTTTAAATCTATTTATTTGTCTGGCTTCGTCGAGCCTTAGTTGCAGCAGGCGGGGTCCTGTGCTGCGCTGTGCTGTGCTATGTTGTGCTATGTTATGTTGTGTTGTGTTGTGCTGCGCTGTGTTGTGTTGTGCTGTGCTGTGCTGCCTTGCGTTGTGTTGTGCTGCGCTGTGCTGCGCTGTGTTGTGCTGTGCTGTGTTGTGCTGCGCTGTACTGCGCTGTGTTGTGCTGTGTCGTGTTATGTTGTGTTGTGCTGCGTTGTGTTGTGCTGTGTTGTGTTGTGCTGTGCTGTGTTGTGTTGTGTTTTGCTGCGCTGTGCTGTGCTGTGTTGTGTTATGTTGTGCTGTGCTGTGTTGTGTTGTGCTGTGCTGTGTTGTGTTTTGCTGTGTTGTGCTGCGCTATGCTGTGTTGTGTTATGTTGCGTGGCCTCTGGTTGTGGGACAGCTTAGTCAGTGTGTCACAGAGACTTAGTTGCTCCACTCCGAGGCATGTGGGATCTTAGTTCCTGGACCAGGGATTGAACCCACATCTGCCTGTATTGCAAGGCGGATTCTTAACCACTGGACCACCAGTGAAGTCCTCATCCTCTGCTTTTTAAGTAGGAAAACATACTTGACTCTGAGAAGAGGCATTCGTATTTATCTTACAGAAACAAAAAGATGTTCTTATTTCCTTCAATCCAAAAAAGAACTCTTTTCTTTTGTTGCTCCTTCAAACCATCTGTACTTTTCCTGTATACCATTTGTCACACTGTACAACATAATACTTTTATCAACCTCTCACTAGAGTGGAAACTCCATAAAGGGAAAAACCAAGTCTCTTTTGTTCAACATTATTTCAGTGGCTAACCTATAACAGGCACTCAAGAATGAATGAATCAGAAATAAGTGTGCAAGGACCGTAGGCTATAATTTAATAAATGTAGGCCTGAACTTGCCTTAATGATTTTGAAATGCAGTGCTTTATATAGCAGCAAATGTTTATTGAGTTGTGATTTAGAACATTAAACAGTCAAGTGAGGGAGACCCCAATCCCAGCTCTCCCATTTGCTAGAACAGACCTTATGCTGGTTGCAGAATCTCTTCTGTTGCTTCATTTTAAGAAGAGGTAGTTGATCTGGAGGACTTCTGTCTCTGAAAATTCTAAGTGCCTGGTATGCCAGGCATAACAGATGACAGCAAAAGAAGCTTTCTTAAGGGCTTGTTTTAAGTTGCTTAAATGTATATTTCACCGATTAATAGACGACTTCCTAAATTTCAGGTGAGTTCCTAAGTCTAGAACCCCCATGCCCAAGGACAGGAATAAACATAATAACATTAAGTATTTCAGTAGGAATGGGGTTCTCTTTGTGAAGTTAGCCTTCCTTACTCTGGCAGAAAGGGATATTTTTGCAGCTGTGAAATGGGCAACTTGTCCTACGGGGCAGAGTGTTTTGTTGTGCTGACTGACTAGGAAAAAGAAAAGTTAGAAGTGTATGAAAAGAGAAAAAAAATGAATGACTCTGTAATTTTTGACAGTTTAAAAATTCTTTTCATTTTCACCCAGCACTTAGAACAAGAGAAACACGAACTAAGAAGACGATTTGAGAACCGAGAAGGCGAGTGGGAAGGGCGTGTGTCTGAGCTGGAGAGTGATGTGAAGCAGCTTCAGGATGAGTTGGAGAGGCAGCAGGTTCATCTACGGGAAGCAGATCGAGAGAAAACACGGGCCGTCCAGGAGTTATCAGAACAGAACCAAAGGTTATTGGACCAACTCAGCAGGGTGAGTCATGAGTTAAGAACTTATGGTATTAGAAAAAAAGAATTTATGGTATAAAACACTAAAAGTTAAAACAGAGCTTCTGTTCGATGTCAACATATATATGGTAAGAGTAAATCTCATTTTTGTTGCCTTTGGTATTGATACCAGTAAATGAAGTGTTTTTCACCTCTTAAGAATTTCAGCTGTGGTGAACTAGGCGTCAAGAGCAAAGACCCTTGCTTGTCACTGGCTATCTGTGAGCTTTTGACAAACTTGGGAGTCTTCTCATTTTTAAAATCTAAGAGTTTGCTTAATGATTTGATGTTCCTTATAGTGCTACAAGTCTGTGATTCTTTCACCTAGAGAAAGCCTGTCACTGGTAAAATTATGTTAATGTATTTAGTTCAGCTATTAAATGGTGCCATCTTTTAAAAAAAAAATACATTTGCCATTTTTCTTTTCTTTTTTTTAAAATTAATTTATTTTTGGCTTCCCTGGGTCTTGGTTGCTGTGCCTGGACTTTCTCTAGTTTCAGCGAGCAGGGGCTCCTCTCTAGCTGCAGTGTGCAGGTTTCTCTTGTGGAGCATGGGCTCTAGGTGTGCAGGCTTCAGTAGTTGCAACCCGTGGGCTCAGTAGTCATGACATTCGGGCTTAGTTGCTCCATGGCATGTGTAATCTTCTGGACCAGGGATTGAACCCATGTACTCTGAATTGGCAGGTGGGTTCTTAACCACTGGACCACCAGGGAAGTCCAAATGGTGCCATCTTTAAACTGAAAGCTTACGGAAAACCTCTAGAGCAAATGATTTTCATTGTGAATGCACATTTCTTATTACTTAAATATGAAAGGAGGTATGTGTAGCTGTATATATAAAATGTGTTCTCTTTATTTCTACATTAAATAGGAGTTCTTTATTTGTACCTTTATAGTGTGGTGTCATAGAAGTATTAATTAACCAAAGTCAAGGTTGTAAAATCAATGCAAAGAAGGAGTATGAGAGCTGAGTAGGTGGAAATCTAACTTAAATATGAGCACACCTTTTAACAAATGCAGCAATGTTGTTAATGCCCTGGTCTTTAAAGCCACTTACTTTTGAAAATTAAGAGCTGGATTTACTTTTATACCTCGTGCCTTCTTATGTATTGAAAATAAAACGAGTTGTTACTCGTATTAGAGGAAAAAAGAACTACTCTGATCGCATCCCTGAGCACAGATGTTCTCAGGAGAAATCTGTCTTTATCCATGCCCTTGTCCAAATGGTTAGTGTTTGGTGCTTAGGCCTCTGGGAAAGGCTCAGCTAGAGCAGCATATGGAGTTATTTCACTAGGTTGTGTCTTAGTTGCTTCTCATGGGCACCTTGTGCTGTGCTTAGTCGCTCAGTCATGTCTGACTCTTCGAAACCCCGTGGGCTGTCGCCCGCCAGGCTCCTCTGTCCATGGGGATTCTCCAGGCCAGAACACTGGAGTATTGTGGGAGCAATACTGGAAGGTTGCTGTGCCCTCCTCCAGGGGCATGAGGACCCTGAGACTGGTCCAGACCTCGTGCCTCACCAGGAAGTACAAAGTACACGCTACCAGCAGAGGAAGGGAGAGGAAGGAGGAGAGGTGGAACCAAGGGTGCCGGCGGGTAGAGGGGGCAGGGGAGAGACCCAAGGAGAGAGATGCCAAAAACTTGGGAAAGAGCTAGTCACAGGAGCTCTCAGGATGTATGTGAAGGTGAGAATTCAGGTGGTGGTGGAGCTGCCTGCACGTTTCTCGCTAGGGAATCAGATCGCCATTTGATTGGCTGGGAAGGAAGGGCCGGACAGTTCTTCAGGAAGTCATTACAGGGCCAGCTCAGGAGCCTTTCAGAGTCAGTTCTAAAACCTTTTTCAGCAACTGGGAAGGGAATCTCTATCCTTTTAAGATTTTATAGGTTTTTGAGCCTTCATCCATCATTCATGAAAATTTTTTTAAACTATTGATTTATGGCTGTGCTGGGTCTTGGTTGCTGCGTGGGCTTTCTCTGGCTGCGGCGAGCAGCGGCTACTCTACCTGCGGCGCTCGGGCTTCTCATTGTGCTGGCTTCTCTGGCTGTGGAGCATGGGCTCCAGGATGTGCAGACTGCAGTCGTTATGGCGTGAGGGCTTGGTTGCTCTGCAGCGTGTGTGATCTTAGTTCTTGGACCAGGAATTGAACTGGTGTTCCCGGCATTGGCTGGGACCCCTGGACAACCAGGGAAGTCCTCTCATTAAAGATTGACCAGGTCGGCTTGGCCAGATTGATTTATTTGTTCAAAAACATTTAATACTTATTCTGAATTAATGTTTCTTATGGAGACTTATGAAAGGGATACAACAAACCAGAACAGTTTAAGAGGAAATTATTTCTTGGGAGCTGAGTTCATGTTACAAAGTGACATGAGCAGAAGCCACCTCAACTCTGCTTTTTGATCTGGTGAAAGATAGGTGGTGGGAGAAAGCAAGTTTTAACATGACATAGGGAGAGCCCTGAACTTAGAATTCAGATGCACGTTGAATCTTGACTCTGCTTCTTTACTGGGTGACCTTGTTTATGACTCCCTCTCCTTATCTTTGAAATGGGGGTAAAAAGTTGTACCTAATGCGAGTACTGTTGAAATTGAAATGAGATAATGTGTTTAGTTTATGTTAAGCAGAATATGAAGTTAAGAATTTGTTTCAGTGTGGATGGTTATTTTACTAAGGTAGTACTTTTATAGTTGAGGTTCCTCTGCCTAATTTTTCTGTAGAAAATTCTGATAAGTGGTTCCCAGAAGAATATGGGAGGATAACATTTCTGCTAGATCTAGATTCTTGTTATCTTCTCTGGCCTTGAAGGTAGGCCCTTGGTGAGTTTTGTGGCTTTTTTCCTTTCTCTCTTTAAGCAGGCCAAGCCCCTTGGGTTTCCATCAGCAGCCAGTTTAGATTGCATTTTATTATCATTTTATTAACTGAGTATTCAGGAACTAGAGGAGTGGAGTACTTTGAAGTGAATTAAGATTCTCTTAGGACAAGTTAACAACCAGAGAAAGTAGTAGAAGGCCGTGCTTTTCTTACAGAGTAAATAATGTGTTTTTATAAGCATGAAATGTATGATATCTAAAATGTGTTGATATTTCCGTGATGCTTTTGTCCAGAGTTTTTTTTAAATTGAAGTATAGTTGATTTATTTGTCCAAAGTATTTTTTTTTTGTCCAAAGTATTTTAAAATATATTTCCTTTGCTGCTATGGCCTCCATTTTTTTTTTAATGTTTGTTTGTTGAGATAGGATTCATATACCATAATATTTGCTTTTTAACAGTGTACAGTTTCACTATCACCACTATCTAATTATAGAACATCTCACACCTCTCAAAAAAGGAAGCTTGTGCCAATTAGCAGTAATTCCTTGTTCCTCCTAACCCCCATCCCACATCCTGACACCTGAAAACCATTAATCTACTTTTTATCTCAATGGGTTTGTCTATTCTAGACATTTCTTGTAAATAGAATCATACATATGTGACCTTCTATGGCTGACTTCTTTCCCTTAGTTTAATGTTTTCAAGGTATACCCACATTGTAGCGTATATCAAAACCTCATTTTTATGGCTGAAGAATATTCCATTGCATGGATGCAACATTTTGTTTATTGATTCATTAATAAATGGACATTTGGGTTGTTTCCGCTTTTTGGCTCTTATAAATAAGGCTGCCATAAACATTCATATTCAGGTGTTTGTATGACCAAGTTTCTTTCCAGCTCTATAAATAGAATGCTATGATATATATCTCTTAAGCTTTCGGATCCATGTTATGATGATGGAAGGGATGGGAACTGTCCTAATTTTATAGCTGAGAAAAACTGGAGGGACCAAAAGATATGTGACTTATTTAAGGCTCTTCCAGTTCAAGACTGATGAGGGTTCCTTTGCCTCAGTTTCAAATTTCTGAGGTAGCAATCAAGGTCACAGGCTTTGGAGCCCAGACAGCCCTGAGGCCAGACACCAGCTATGCTATTTACTAGCTGGGTGAGTACAGGAAACTTTTTCCACTTTTTAAAATCTTAGTTTCGTCCTCTGTATAATGGAAACAATAGTATTATTACTATTATCTGATGTTGTTATGAGGACTGAATGAGTTAATGTATGTAAACTCTAACTATGATGTCTAGCATACAGTGAGTGCTCCTTAAATGGTAACCATCATATCCTCATCATGAAGATGAGATTTCTGCATCTAGTCCAATGTTGATTCTCTAATTTGAGAGGATGGAAGAATCTGAAGTGTCCCCAGCACTTATTAGCATGTGAAACTGTTTTGTCTAGAAGTCAAATCTCTTTTCAAAAATATTTGTGTAAAATTGACCCTCCTGGGAGTTGAGTTAGGTTTATCCTGTAGCACCTAGTGTCGACATTGCTGCGTATATCCTGAGGATACCTTTGTTGTTGTTCAGTCCCTAAGTCATGTCTGACTCTTTGTGACCCTCTCATGGACTGTAGCCCACCAGGCTCCTCGGTCATAGGATTTCCCAGGCAAGAATACTGGAGTGGGTTGCCATTCCTTCTCCAGGCGACCTTCCTGATCCAGAGATTGAACCTGTGTCTCCTGCATTGCAGGTGGGTACTTTACTGAGCCACCTGGGAAGCCTTTGTTTCTTCTTTGTAGAAATGTCTATTTAGGTCTGCTCTCCATTTTTCAGTTGGGTTGTTTGTTTTTTTTTGTCGCTGAGTTGTATAAGCTATTTGCATATTTTGGAAATTAAGCCCCTACTTGGTCACATCATTTCCAAATATTTTCCCCTGTTCTGTAGGCTGTCTTTTCATTTTGTTTGTGGTTTGTTTCCATTGCTGTGCAAATTTGTTTTTATTTCTGTTGCCTTGGGAGACTGACCTAAGAAAACATTGACAGTTTATGTGAGAGAATGTTTTGCCTATGATCTCTTGTAGGAGTTTTATGGTGTCATGTCTTATGTTTAGGTCTTTATTTTTGTGTATGTTGAGAGGATATGTTGTAACTTCAGTGATTTACTGGCAAGTGGC